ACGCACCTCTCCTCCTGGGGCTGAGCTCTGTTAAGGATAAGGTAATGTGGAGTTCATCCTGGACCTCCTCTCTGTGCCTGGCTGTGGCTCCTGGACTTCCTTCCTCCTGCCTCTCCTGCTCCCACCCTCGCCTCTGTCCCGTGCGAGCCCTTCCCTGCGAGTCAGCTGCTCCCTTAACTCTTGCCTCCCAGACAGGCCAAGGTCAGGGATCAGCAGCTGAGAGGATTCAGCTTCGTGCTGGTGGGGTTATTGTCCTCCTGTGCCCTCGTGCCTCTGCCCTGCTGTCCTGGAGATGGGCAGGGGGGTCTGACTCTGAGCATCCTTAGATGACCAGGGGCCAGTGGTGACCACTGAATGGGTTTCTGCTGGCTTTGGAGTCAATTCAAGGGGAAAAAGAATGTCTGTGTGGGAGCTAAAATGGAGAAGGCACTGAGCAAAGCAAGCTTAGGAGCTCTTGCCACTTGCTGAATGTGTGGCAGCAGCTGCGGATGCTGCCCGGAGGAGCCTGGCCTGGATGTGTAAGGAGGGACGGGCAAGAGCCCTGCCAGGCGATGTCTGGGTACTGCTGGCAGCCTCCTCTGGCCCAGGGCAGGGGGAGGCAGGCGCATGCTCCTCCGTCCCCTCGGCTGTTAGGACAGTCCAGCTCTTCCAGGCTCACGGCTGCGCCTTCCCGTCTCTAGGTCTTCCTCAGGAAGGACGTGGATGCGGAGGATGAGCAGCAGGAGGCCGGGAGTCCCCGGGCCAGTGGTTTCTGCTCTCCGGTGGACAGAGGTTCCCCCTTCTATGCGGTACATCCCCCTGCCCTCGCTGTTTAGAGGGTCTGACCCAGGGGCGCAGGTCGGGGCTGAGCAAGCGAGGGCGGCCACTGGTGGTCTGCCTGGGCACGGGTGTGGATGGAGCCTCGCTGCTTTAAATGAGTGAGGGGACAAGCTGGGCATGATGGGGCGAGGGGATAGCCCCCAAGCCGGTGCCCAGAGGTTTTATCGCTTCCAAGGGAGCCGGATTACAGGCTCCCCCAGCCCTGGCCGTGTCAAGAGACTGAAGATCCTGGAGTCGCAGGAGGGCCTGAGAATCTGTGTTGTTATTTTAAAAAAAAAAAAAAAAAGACAGAGGATTTCTCTAGTTCTTGTGGTTAGGCAGAAAGGCTTTGAAAGTGACTCCCATGCCGTCAGCGGGGCAGCGCATGCCAGAGTGCTTAGAGAGCCTGAATCAGTTGCCCAAACCCCACTGCCCCACAGGCTCCTAGGAGATTGCACCCTGGCGGGCTTGGGGGCAGCTGGGACCCCACGGGGCAGCTCGCACCCGGCCCCCTCGGGGAGGGAGGGCTGCTCCAGGCTGGCCCCGGGAGCAATTTCTGCCTGGTGAGAGGAGGCAGCGAGCCCTGCGCCTTCAGGTTTCTCCTGAAGATGCCCAGGCTCCTGTTTGCTGCTGGTTAGGGTGCGGTCAGGTCCCCGTCCCTGGGCAGCGGGGTGGGAAGCAAGTGCCCAGGCGGCTGTGCCGTCCCCTGGGCTGCATGCAGCTGGGCCTGGGGCTGAGCTTGGAGGGGGGCCAGCGCTTTAGTTGGCTGACCTTCGTCATCACCCCCGGCGGAGCTGGAGCCCTGAAAGAGCATTTCGTCAGCACCGGCCGCCCGCGAAGCCGAGCCCCGGGGGAGATGCTGTGCTTCCTGCCCTCTGCCACCACTCACTTGGGGTGGGGGTCTCCAGGTGCCCCTGAAGGAGTGGCGGGCTGAGCTCATCAGGGACCTGCCCCATGGCCTCCCCATTCCATCCCCTGGCAGTGTCCCCTGGGGTGACACCAAATGGATGCCGCAGACAAGAATGCTCCTCGCAGGGATGCACAGCCTCAGGCTGGAGGGGCAGCAAGTGCCGCATCCGCCTCCAAAGTGGGCACAGTGCTGGGTGCCAGCCTGCCAGCTGGCAGTGACCCAGGGCTGAGGGACAGCCTGGCAACCCCCTGCCAGGGCTGTGAAAGCCACCGGCGCAGCCTTGGTAGAGGGGAGCTGTGCCTCGGGGTGCTGGGAGAGAACCCCAAATATGTCAGTGAATCAGTGGGATCGGGGATGAGGCAGGCTAACATACTTTTATTGGGCTTCCGAAAAGCTCCTGGGAGGTGATGGGGAGGGCTCCCTGGGGCAGCGTGCGGACTCCCCCCACCTCTGCCCACCCCAGCTGGCAGGACTGCCGGTGTCATCGCCCCGGAAAGAGAGCCCCAAGGGCAAGGAGCCCACAGTGGCACTGAGATGTGGTGGGCAAAGCAGCGTGGGAGCGTCCCCCCTCCTCGACCTGAGCCCTCTGGTAGCCCAGTTCAACAGGGAGATGCTGCAGGTGAGGCCAGCCG